TCCCGAGGTGCCCTCTAGCGGCGGCGTCCCCCGCGGGCGCCCGGCCGAGCCCCCGCCCCGCCGCGGGACACGCTGTCAGTTTCTCGCGCCGCCCCTGCCCCTAGCCCCCGCCTCGGGTCTGTCTCTCAGCCCACGTCTCCCTTGCTCCCCTTCTCGGACCCTCGCTCTCTCGCGTCTCGCTCTTTGCGCTCTGTCTCTCTCGCTGTCTCGGCGTCTCTCCCTCCTCCGGAGACGCCGCTGGAGGGCGCCGAAAGCCCGTGGATGGCTCCCGGCAAGCCCCTCTACTCCGCCGGAGTGGACCCAGTCCCCCAGCGCCCTGAGACAGAGGAAAAATGGCAAACCCGTCTCTGCTCCCTCAACCCCCTTCCCTTTCTGGCAGGCCGCCGCCGGGGCAGCACTGCGTCCTGCGGGAAGATGGAAGCAGACCCTTTGCTTTTCAATCAGGCTGCTTTATTCTGTTGTGGCAGGAGTTCCCCGGCCCCTGGGCGCCACCTCCGCCCACTCCCATCCTCTCCCCAAACTCCCATTTCTCCAGGGCCTGTCCCTGCGGTGTGGGCAGAAGCAGCTTCTTGCCTGTCTGCAAAAGTTGCAAAAGACCCTTTTCTTGGGGCGTTTCCTGTCCCCTTGGGGCTTCCACTGACCCTGTGAAGTAAAGGAATGTTGAGGTTGGACAGAGAAGGTTCCAGGAGTGGGAAATACTGGTATGAGCCTCCCCTCCCCTGAGCTCACTGGATGACCTGGCTTCAATGGACGCCCCAGCGCCTGGTCAGCCTGAGCGCTCTTCCACTGCTCAGGGGAGATGGCCCGAGGGCTCCTCCACTGCTGATCAGGGTCCCTGGGATCACACCTGCTCACCTGAGGAGTTCTAGATGTAGTAGAGCGGCACCTCGCCACACAGGGTGCTCACGGCCATGCCCAGGAAGCCCGAGTCCCCTCTGGAGGGTGCTGAGCCCGCATCACGCCCCTCCGCCTGGCCCAGCTTAGGGGCTGGCTTTTCGGGCTTGGCCTGCAGAAAGCATTCCATTTGGAATCTGGGAAGTGAGTTTCTATCCCATGTGTAGCCCGTATTGTCGGACTTCAGGCATGTCAGGCAATCTCTCTGAGCCTCTGTTTTCTCACCAAGAAAGGGGGACTGAGCTGGAGTCAGAAGCCCCCAGGTGGTGAGTGGGCTCAGCTGAGCCCAGCAGCTTGGCAGCAGGGTGGGTAAGAAAGGAGTCGTGCAGGTGAGTATGAAGAGGGGTAGTCAGTCCACAGCCCACGAGGAACGGTGCTTTACAGATGACAAATCGCCATCATTCAGACACTCCTCCCAGCAGGCCTGGCAGGCAGACTGCCCACTCCTTTCACTCACACACATACCTGGAAGTTCTGGACTTTTCTAGTGAGAGCCTCCAGACTGGGGATGCTCTCTGGAGCAATCTTCATGATGTAGCAGCAGGTGCCAGGGGCTGGCTTGTAGGTGATCAGGAGCTGGGCACAGAATGCTGGTGATCATTCGGGGGTTCCTGCCCTGCTCGCTCCCTGATCCAGATCCTTAGCCAGCTCTGTCTAGGTTGGGCACAGGAGTCATACTAGAATCTGGGGTTCAGGCAAAAAGGGCTGGAGGAGGGGACAGATGGATGTGGATGAAGTGGCCCAGCTGGGTGACTCTAGCAGAGTCTTGTCACTAATCCCAGTGTCAGGAGGTCTGGGCATACCTACCCGCTGGTAGTCATACACCACAAGGCCAGTGGAGCCGATGGAGAAGGTGGCAGTGGTACCCAGGTGCTCATTTAGGGCCAGCCGTTGCTGGGCTTCCGGCGCCCCCATGCTCATCTCCAGGACCTGGGGAAAGCGCAGAGAGCTGCCTGGTCTTCCCCTTTCTTACTCAGCCTGCGGTACCAATCCACATACTCAGACCTCTGTACTCAGATGTGCTTCCCTCTTTCCCGAGAGCTCAGGGAGGCTGAGTGGAACCAGGTGCTGGAGGGAGCCAGCTGTCCTGCTGCAGGACAGGGGCCTTGTGGAAAAGCCTGGGCTGAGTTGCAACCTGATTCCTGCCTCTTTCCTTCTAGCTGTGCCCCTTGCCTCCCCTCCACTCCCCTTGGACAGTTTCCTGACACCGCTCTCACCCAGCCACTCTGTCCAGCATGTCCTGTGCCCACTACCGCCCCATCCCACACCTCTCACCATCTCCGTGTGTTTCTGGCTCATGTGGAGACCCATGAGCAGGGCTCCCACGATCACCACGACGACAAGGACCACCACCACCACCACGATGAGAAGGCGTTTCAGGTCCACTGGGCAGCAGGGGATGCCGAATCGGCCCCTGGGGGCTGCGGAGTAGTCCTGACAGGGTGGGGCAGGCAGGGAGACTGGCATGAGGTCATGAGGGTATCCCCTCCTCTCTCTAAACAAGCTGGACACCCTCCCATGGCCACCTAGGGCTGGACAGCTGATGTGATGGATGGGCAGGGAAGGGCTGAGATCAGAGGAGGCTTCTTGGAGGAGACGGCCTGGATTCTAACAAACCCATAGACACACAGAAGCTGAGAAGCAGGGTCTAGTTTTGAGGGACCCCAGAGAGCCTGCTTCATCTGTCTCTTCCTGAGCTTCCCCCAGCCCCCTGGCATCCCAGCCATGGCCAGCCCCTCTCTGTTCCCCAAGTGATCACTCCCATTAAGTAGGAGTGACATTTTCTCTGTGAAGTGTCCCCTGACCTCTGATGTATTTCATGGCTTCTTACTTGGGGCTGTCTACAAACAGCCCTTTCCATCAACCCCTATAGTGGCTCTCGGCCCATGAACTGCTCCCCAAGGGTCTCTGGTTTAGTGGTCTTGGTGTCCCCATGCTGATTTATCACAGCCCTAGGTTAGTTGAGTGAATGGATCTGGATAAGGAAACAGGCCAGGGAGGTTAGAGGAGGCAGGGCCCGTCACACACATGCATACACACACACACACACACACACACACACACACACACACACACATACACTCTCTCTCTTTCTCTCTCTCTCTCTCTCTCTGTCTCCTCTCTCTCACCGGCGGGCTCTCCATCAGGACCTCTTTGCTGCCCACATCCATCTTGTTGCAGGCACTGTGCTCTCCTCTCCTCCTCTCCCAGGTGTGACCAGGGTCTTATATGTGTCCGTAGGGACAGAGGACAGAGGTGAAGGACCAGGCACCCTGTGTGCCAGCCAAGACCTTGGCTTTGAAGCCTGTTTGTTCCTGGCCCTCCAGAACCAAAGCCCAGATAAGCCAGCTGTGAGAGCCCCCAAGGGCCCTTGGCCCTGGCACATGAGTCCTCTTAGCCCCAGCAAGAGCAAACCTAGGTGAGCTGAGCAAACTTGCCCTTGGGGCATCTGCACCTCTCACCGTGGGTATCTCGTTGGTGTGCCTGCCTTCCTTGCTGGCACCTGCTCCTGCTGCCCTGTGGCTTTGCTTGTTCTTCTGCCAGCCTAAACCTTGCGGGTGGCCAAGGTTTGACCATCACATTTCCCAACAGAATTTCTCCATGCCTAGGGATGCGCTCCAGGAAGCGCGTTCTGGAGACAGCGCCTGTAGACTCTGAGGGGACTCCGCTGAAGGCAGGAGGTGCTTTGACATCAGTTTTGGGTATTTCATAAATGTGCATTTCCCTGCAAGGGCCGAATTCCCACTTCAAGCACTCTTTCTCTCACCTTGCCTCCTCCCACACATCTGGTACCAACCTCAAACTTGCCCCCAGTCATTATTTTCCTAATTCTGGAAACTCTGCCCCACCGATGGCAAGCTCTTACTCATGTGCAGTGCTTCCTTCTTTGCTGTGGGCTTGTCTGTCAATTGCAGACTGTGCTGATGGCAGATTCCAGGTCTGACACTGTTTTCTTCCACCTGGACAGCCCTACACAGGGCTGGCTCTGGTCACTGGCGGGCTCCCAGTCTCCTTATCCTCAAATCAGCCCACTCACCCTGTGGTCTACACCCCACCCCCTAGACTCCCTTTTACATATTCTGATCCTAAATTTGCCGTGAGAATGCTACTCACCCAAATACGATCAACTTTTGGGACAGTCTCCTTCTCCATTATCTCTCTTTCCTACTGCTTTCCCCAAAGCCATCTCTGCGTATTTACAAGGTCACATCTGCCCATGACTTTGGGCTGACTCACCCTTCCTCTCAGCTCCCTTTCACTCTTTGCGCCAGGTGGTCTCTGAAGTCCCTTCACCTCCAAACTCAGGTGACTGAGGCAGAGTCCACGCCTCCCTCTCTAGGCCTTGCTCTCTTATCCTTCTATCTTTTTTTTTTTTTTGAGACAGGGTCTCACTTTATTACCCAGGCGGGTGTGCAGTAGCAAGATCACTGCTCACTGCAGCCTTGACCTCCTGGACTCCGGTGATCCTGCCACCACAGCCTCCCAAGTAGCTGGGACTGCAAGTACGTGCCATCATGCCCAGCTAATTTTCATATGTTTTGTAGAGCTGGGTTTTCGCCATGTTGCCCAGGTTGGTCTTGAACTCCTGGGCTCAAGTGATCTCAGCCTCCTAAAGTACTAGGATTGTAGGCATGAGCTACTACGCCTAACCAGCTCCTATCCTTTACCTTTAACATGCCACCTCAGTTCCTGTCCCCTGCCCTGGACCCTTCCCACCTGAGCCCTGCCCTTCGGTCATGAGCTGACGAGTTTTCCTGTTCCCTCTCCACTTGGAGGATCTTCAGTCCCCAGGTTGCCTAATAGCATGGCATCTGAGCTGAGAGCCCCTGAGAAGTGAGAAAGGGAAGGAAGTGTTTGCTCCCACCACCCTCCTCACCCCCTAGCTGCCCCTTTAAATATTTGCCTAAGACTCCAGCAGCCAGAGAGTGTCCTGGGACAGTGAAAGGAGGGGAGGGATGCCAGGAGGCGGGGGAGCCTGAAGAAGTGTCCTCTCAGCTCGGCCTCAGCTGTGTGCAGGTGCCAGATGTAGGAGACAGCTCTCCCGCAGTGCCCACCCCTGCCCTCCCCCAGGGCCCCCGCTCCCACCCCCATCGTCCTGGCAACATTGGGATTGATCGGCTGACTCACGAGTACTGGGCCCCAGCCAGGTGGGCAGCTGGCCAGCGGGAGAGCCAAGCACTGCAGGCATCTCGGGGTCCCTATGGACATCTCGCGGGGGGGGGGAGGCGTGTTATCCTCATGTGGAACTTGTTCTTAGCAAGCACCGTGGGTGGGGCTTGCCGTCATCGCTGGGTGCTGGGAGAGGGGTCTTTTTCTTTGAAAGAAGCCTCTGCTCTTCAGGCCTTCAGTCTCCCCTGCTTCAGTCTCCTTGGGCTGTAGCTGTCATAGGCTTTGTGGCTGCTGCTGCTGCTGCTTCTCCTCCTTCTTGCTTAAACCCGGATTTTTGCTTGCTTGAGGGCTGGGGAAGGGTGCCTGCTTCCTGGAGGGCTCACACCAACCAGGTGGAGGTCTTGGGTTCCTTGGAGAAGGAAACACACGAGCCTGCTCTTGTCATCAGCTGAGTGTGCCAACCTTCCCCTCCTCCATACCAGCCCTCTCTGCAGCCTTCTCACTTTTTGCCCTTTATTTGAGCCATTTCTCCCTCTGTGAAAGCCCACCTCCAATCCCTCTCCACGTCTCTGGTTTTATTTTAATTTTAATTTTATTTATTTATTTATTTAGTTAGAGACATAATCTCCCTCTATTACCCAGGCTGGAGTGCAGTGACGCAATCAGTTTTATAGCTCACTGCAGCCTTGATCTCCTGGCCTCAAGTGATTCTCCTACCTTAGCCTCCCAAAGTTCTGAGATTACAGGCGTGAACCCTGCATTCTGGCCTTCCATCTCTCTGAATGCCACCCACCCAAACAGGCCAAGAGCCAATGGCACCTGCTCTGTGACCTCATTCCAGTTCAGGGTGCCCTCTGAAATCCTCAGCCTCTCTGTGGCACCTTCCACCCGCCATTTGGCACACATAAATGTTCTCATCGGTGACATGGGTGCTTTTTGTTGCTCTATCTTCCAGCCCAACTGTGGGCCCTGGAAAGGAAAGGCACATGCTTCCCACAGGCTTCTTTGAACATGCCACTGGGCAGGAAGCTCACAAACAACCAACACTTAATGATAGTCAACAATGAGACCAACCCCAACAGCGGTCAGTAGTGCTTGCCTTCAGTATGTGAAGGTCTCAGTGCTTCCACTGGCCAGCTCTGGGACTCAGCAGGAGTCAACCTGCTTTGCTAGGCATTAGTATGTTCGTCTGTGAAATGGGTCAGGTCCTAGCTGTCCACCTCATCACACTGTTGTGAGGACTTAATGACATCCTGGGTGTGAAATCCAGTCATCGTCATTAGCACATCTACGTCATCCTCTCGGGCACCTCTAACTAGCCAAGAATACAGTGCAGACTCACCCTCTCTATTTCTGGGTTGACCCCCTCCGAGAGCCGTGGGTGACGGACAGCGCACGGTGGCCACCTCTTCTGCATGGGCCTCCCCATTTAGTCCTCCAGCCCCTCAGCTGCAGGGGTTGGGACAAGATTCACTTTGCTCTTTGTGTACTGGGCAGAGCCGTGCCAGGGACGGGTGGGGACAGTTGCCCAGCTGCCCCAGCCACCTCCCTACCCCCACTGCTTCCCTCCACCCAAGCTGGCATGGGGAGGGCAGCAAGGCAGCTGGATGTGTGGCAGCAAGTGGACATCAAAGGGCAGGGGCATCCCTGGCTGGGAGAACACAACTTAAGCTCAGACCAGAGAATCCCCTGCTGGCAAAGGCTGGGGACAGCTGGGGAAGCATCCTAAAGCCAGTGGTCTCCGTTCCCTGGACTGATGTGGAAAGGGCACGAGACTAGGAGCCCAGGCAGCTGACAGCCAGCCTCCCGTTGCCTTGAGCCCACAAGCTCTTCGGACAGTCATCCCCCTTCAACGGGGACCTAACATGGTATAGAGCAGTAGTCTTCAAGTTTTTTGGTTTCAGGATTCTTAATACTCTCAAAAAGTGTTGAGGACCCTAAAGAGCTTTTGTTTATGTGGGAAACATCTATTGATAGTTGCTGAGGAATTAAAGTTTTATTTACATATTAATTTAAAAGATCAGTAATAAACCCATTATATGTTATGACTAAATCATAATTTTAATGGATATAACTATTTTACAAAGCAAAAAAAATTAGAGAGGAGTGTCATTGCTTTACAGTTTTGGAAATCTTTTCAATGTGGGGCTTAATAGAAGTGAAAAGGGTAAATCATGTCTTAACAACATTAGGAAAATTGTTCTGACCTCAGACACTCCCCGAAGTGTTCTCAAGGACCCCTGGTCTCCCAGGGGCATACTAGGAAGAGGCCCACATAGAAGGACGACGGGAAATGGTCAAGTTGGGCAGAGTGGGCGGAAATCCCTGCTGATACCTTTTCTTCCCGTATGACAGGCCTCGCTTTTCTTATCTGTGAAAGGGAATTACTATCGCCTGCCTCAAACGATTGAGAGGATGAAGTAGGGAAAGTACAGAGCACATGCTAGATGCATAGCAAGCTTAGCCAGCCTCTTTTGGGGGGCCTGAGTTTCCTCATTTGTTAGACAAAGGGCTGGACTGGAAAACATCCAGCGCGCTTCCCAGCTCCAACAGGCTGTGGCTGAGCAGTGAGAAATGTTCCAGAATTCCACATAGTCCCACTCCAGCTCCAGAGGCTGCATTTCCTTTCTCAGCTCATGCTGACACAAAGGTACATGCTGTTCAGCGGCGCGTGGAAAAACATGTGAATCCAGTTAGAAGCGCACTTCAGACTCCTCCAGGACGCCCTTGTGCTTCTAATCTTGCCTGCTAACTTAGATATGCGTCTGTCACTCGTGACATGCCCCTGGCTCTGCCTAGGGGATGTGTCCCCATATGCAAAGAAACCCAGGTACCCAGAAGCACAGGCATCCCTCACCCCAAAGCTCCTCCAGAAGGCGGTGTGTGCATGTGCCCGTGCACAGACCGGTGAGCACCGGCGCGCACGGTCGTGCCCAGCACACAGAGACACAAGTACACGCTCACACGGTTGCACTTACGCGCAGCCACACACGCGGATGGCCCCAGAGACCGCCCGGTAGAGCACGGAGCGGCCACTCCTCCCTTTGGCGACTCCCAGGCCCGTGCCTCCCCCCGCCGCCCCGCGCGCGCCCCCGCCGCCCGCGCCGCAGTCCGCATCCACCCGGCGCGGTCAGCCCGGGCTGCGGCTCCAGCTCTGCGCTCCGCGCGTCTCTCCGAGCCGGATCGCGGGAGCGAGCAGGGGAGGGGACCGCAGCCGGCGCCCGAGGGCAGGAGGAGTCCACAGGCGGGTCCCGGGCTGCCACAGAAGCTGCCGGTGGCTAGGAGGTGCCAGCCCGCGCGGGGTGGCCCAGCTGCGGGAGCGGTGGGGCGGGGGCCGCGGCCGCGGGCCCGCGGGAGAGCTCGCGGGCAGCATGGCGGGGCTGCGGGCCAGGCGGGGCCCGGGACCGAGGCTGCTGGCGCTCTCGGCGCTTGGCTTCTGCCTCATGCTGCAAGTCAGCGCTAAAAGGCCCCCCAAGACGCCCCCCTGCCCTCCCAGCTGCTCCTGCACCAGGGACACCGCCTTCTGCGTGGACTCCAAGGCAGTGCCCAGGAACCTGCCCTCGGAGGTCATCTCCCTGTGAGTGTCCAGCCCTGGCCTTGGGGGGTGGGGAGGGAGAGGAGGCCGATGACAGCTCTGGGAGAGGACAGGAGAACCCCTGCTCCCTGCCTTCAGAGTGTAGAGACCAGGGGATCGCAGGGGTCCTTAGGACTGGAGATTCCAGGCACCAGTGGGCAGCGAGTTCTGCAGTTTTGCAGGCTCAGCGGCCATGGCTGGGAAAAGCAGGAGTTCACCGCCAAGAATGAATCATCACTGCCAGGAGCATCAATGAGACCTACTGTGTGCTGGGCTTGGGACTTGGGGGGGGGATTGTTTACACGAGCATGTGGGCCCCTGTCTGTGATGTCACACCAAGGGTAGGGGAGGGCTCCTTATGGGAGAGGAGGGTGGCAGGCAGGGCAGTGTGGGAATGAGCTATGCCCTCCTAGCACCCTGGCTTGGGGCACATGCCTGCCACTGGCCAGGCACTCGTCACCCAGCCCAGCCAGCCTGTCACTTGCAGCAGCCAGCCTCAGGGGCTCCCCTTGTCTGTGGAACCAGAGAGGCTGTGAGGTCCTTGAGGACCAGGATGCCAGCCACCACCCCCATGCCCCATCTCTCAACAGCACCCAGCACATTGTGGGTGTTTGGATGATGATGACGACGGTGTGGATGATGGAACCTTTTCTTGGCTAAGAGGGAAGCTGAGCCTGGGGCCATGGGTGCCCCAAGAGGCAGTAGGGGAGGACCATGGCGAAGGCAGGGGGTGAATTTGGGAGGAGAAAGGAAAGACACAGGTAGGGTCCAAGGAAGCTTGGTAAAATGGGGCATTTCCAGAGTGAGTACAAAAGCCACTCCCTCCCTGTCCACCTCTCCCTGCCTCAGCATAGTCCCTGCAGCCCCCACAGTACTGACTCGGGTGTCTCCGCAGGACCCTGGTGAATGCCGCCTTCTCAGAGATTCAGGATGGAGCGTTCTCCCACCTCCCACTGCTGCAGTTCTTGTATGGACAGGGCCTTGGGAAAGGGTTGGGGGACTGTGGGGATGGTAGCGGGGGACAGATCCTGGGCTGGGGAGACAGAGAGAGAGTGGACAGAAGCAGCCTCTGGAGATGAAGATGCAGGTGTCCCTTGCTTCTGTTCTGATAGGATGTACCCAAAAGGCGGGGCAGCCTGGAGTCATGGGAGTCAGGGTCAACAGGAGGAGAGCTAGAGATGGCGTACAGAAGCCAACCAGGGGGGATCGGGGATGGGCTCGGCTCCTCTGGATACCCAAGGGGATTGGGTGCGATAGCCTGGGTCAGTACCCAGCGTGGGCACTGTGGGATCATCTTAGAGACAGGTGACCCCAGGAATCAGGGATCACAGAAAGAGCTGGGGGCTGAAAGAAAGGGATAGCAGGAGTGTCTCAAACTCTACAAGATGTCATCCATGAGGGACAGTTGTCCATGAGGGGTTGAAGTGGGACAGAATGAGGGTGGGGGACAGGGAGAGGAGATGCCACGGGGGCAGGCAAGGAGCCGGCTTGACAACAGAGCCCTGCCTCGGCGCATATTTAGGAGCCGACAGGGACTCTGGGAGCTTCTGGGGCCAGAACAGGCTCCTACCTGGTCTTGTTGCCCAGGTGGCCCAGGGATTCCCATGGGGTCCCTACGGGTGGCAGCAGGGCAGCCAGGTCTTTGGGAAGCCCAGGGCTGAGGCAGCGGGCTGGGGGCTGGGGCAGCAGGCACACTCTTGAAATCTCCAATTCCAACTTTGTCTCCGCAGGCTACTCAACTCCAACAAGTTTACACTGATCGGAGACAACGCCTTCACGGGACTGTCGCACCTGCAATATCTGTGTGTGGGACGGAAGGGGGCCGTGGGAAAGCAGAAGGGAGGGGACCCCAGGCCTGGACGGCCAAGGGTCTGGGTGGGGAGTGGACGAGAAGGCTTCGGGACGGGGAGATGATGGGAGGCGATAGCTCTTGCATCCCACAATGGCAGGACCTGAGCAGGGGGTTGTTTCATTCGTTTTGCCCCCACCCTACCTGACGCCCTGTCCCTATGGGCTTGATGATGCCAGACTCCATCTGGAAACCTGTCTTGGGGACATGGGCTGACATCTAGGCTGAGGCATAGGGCGAGTGCTGCTGGGGGTCTGGCATCCTGAGTGACAACTGAGGCCCATTCTCGCTTTCCCCAGCTTCATTGAGAACAATGACATCTGGGCCCTATCAAAGTTCACCTTCCGAGGACTCAAGTCCTTGACTCACCTGTGAGTACATCATGCATTCACACACTGCACTGAAGCCCCACCTCTCCTGTGGCCTTTGGCCATGGTCATGATCTTCAGATGACCCAGATGTCTCTCTTGCAGCTCGCTGGCCAACAATAACCTGCAGACACTGCCCAGAGACATCTTTCGGCCCCTGGACATCCTGAACGACTTGTAAGGCCCAAGTCCTGTGTCCTCCAACAGTGCCGCAGAGGGTGCCTCCCTGGAGGGAGTGGCATGGGAGTCAGGACTGGGATGGTCATGAGGTCTTGAGAGGCTGGGAGGGCTTGGGTCTTGGGGGTCCCTGAGAAGGCGAGGTGGACTTAGATACAGATGGTAGCTTTCCAAATTGGAATTTCTCTCAAAGTACACCGGAGATGCCATGTGTGCCTGTTTTAAAAATGTGCTTTTTAATGCTGGGCATGGTGGCTCATGCCCGTAATCCCAGCACTTTGGGAGGCTGAGACGGGTGGATCACCTGAGGTCAGGAGTTTGAGACCAGCCTGGCCAACATGGCGAAACCCCATCTCTAATAAAAATACAATAATTTGCCAGGCATGGTGGTGGGCTCCTATAATCCCAGCTACTTGGGAGGCTGAGGCAGGAGAATAGATCACGACATGGCACTCCAGCTTAGGCAGCAAGAGTCTCACGCTGTTGCCCAGGCTGGAGTGCAGTGGTGCCATCTCGGCTCACTGTAACCTCTGCCTCCCAGGTTCAAGTGATTCTCCTGCCTGAGCAGTCTGAGTAGCTTGGACTACAGGCGTGAGCTACCACGCCAGGCTATTTTTTTGTATTTTTAGTAGAAATGGGGTTTCACCATGTTGGCCAGGCTGGTCTTGAACTCCTGACCTCAAGTGATCCGCCCGCTTTGGCCTCCCAGAGTGCTGGGATTACAGGCGTGAGCCACTGCACCCAGCCAACATGTGCTCTTTAAATGTATGTTTGACTGGACTCTACCTTAAAGTCCAATGAGGGAGGAGTGTTTGAAGGTCTCAAGTGAGTAGTGGCGTATAGTAGTTTATATACAGCACATAGTAGTATGTAGCATAGCCACACTCATTTATCATATTTATAAGAAAATAAAAGCCTGGATTGTGGGAGGCTTAGAGAAACAGGGATGCAACATATAGCTGTGCAAGTTGCACACTGCAGAAGCTAGCCTGGCCGAAGAGCTCAGCAAGGGCTGAAACTGGCTCCACACTGCTGGCCAAGCCTGTGTCTGTGGAGCTGCATCCATCCAGAGGGCAACTTTTCTCTAATCCGTACAAAGACGCAAGTCAGCAACTCGAAGCAGCCTTGACCAGCTCTACTAATGGAAACCTGGAGGGCCTGGGCGGGCGGAGCCCTGAGAACCTGTCCCTCTCTGTGCTCCCCTCTTCTGCCCTCATGATGCAGAGACCTGCGGGGCAACTCCCTCAACTGCGACTGCAAGGTGAAGTGGTTGGTGGAGTGGCTGGCGCACACCAACACCACGGTGGCGCCCATCTACTGCGCCAGCCCGCCCCGCTTCCAGGAGCACAAGGTCCAGGACCTGCCCCTGCGGGAGTTCGACTGCATCACCACCGGTAGGAGGCGCCCCTGCCTTGGATGTCAGTCCATGCCTACCCCAAGGCAGCTTGACAGGCATGAACCCCCCCCACCCTGCCCCACAACACTCAACGGCAGCAGTCAAGCAACCACTGTCCCCACGCAGCCCTTCCCTTCTCCTTCCGGTCTTGAGACACACGCCTCTCATCCCTACAGATTTCGTGCTGTACCAGACCCTGTCCTTCCCAGCAGTGTCGGCTGAGCCCTTCCTCTACTCCAGCGACCTCTATTTGGCTCTGGCCCAGCCAGGTGTCAGTGCCTGCACCATCCTGAAGTGGGACTACGTCGAGCGGCAGCTTCGAGACTATGATAGAATCCCAGGTACCTGCGCCCAACCTGGCTCTGCTGGCCCTTGCCAGGGGGAGGGAGAGTGGGCTTCATCGTTCAACCCCGTTGAGTTCCTGTAGGTAGAGGGATAGAGGAGACATAGCTTCTGCCCACAAAAACTTTCCAGTCTTTGGAAGGAGGCCAATATGTACACAGATAACATCCATATGCTAGGCAGGTGTTAAAAGGGAGATACAAACACGGTGCTCTTAGCAGCACAAAGGACAGGCCTACCCTGGGCAATCAGGGAAGGCTTCCTGGTGTAGGGCGATATCTAAGCTGAGTCTT